TTGATCGAGTCTATTCAGATATATTTAATCTAGATTATCCCATTGATAACTTAATGACTGTTGTTTAGCATACGCTAGTAGTTGTTCTTCTATATCATCGAATTCAGTACTCTGTTGAGCAGTTTGCTCTTGGGATTGGTGATTTATTAGTGTATTGGCTTGTGCCATATTAGCTGTAATAGCAGATTGAAGCCCAGAAACTAAAACATTGGGTATTTCGTTAGTGAATTGAGGCTGTTGATTCATGGTAGTGGTTGATCCGCTCTGGCTTAAATTCAGTTGAGGTCCGTCAGGATGACTATCCAGTAACGTTCTATTGATAAACGATGATAATATGTCGGAACTGGCACCGAATGCAGGAGCCCACATTGAAATTAATTTATGCTGGATATATGCTGGATTCATTGAGTCTTGTTTTCTTGTTAGGAAGGTCATTAAAGTTTATAAATAGTTTCGGATATTGTCACCATCGACGAAGCGTAAAGTATTCAATAGGTTTTTGCATTCTTCAATGTTACTTGCTGCGCTCGAAGTATGAGCTGGTTCTATATCTAACCATTTTTCTCTCAGTAAGCGGTAATCTGCTAGGGCACTTCGAGTATCTTTGTCTTTGAGCTTACGTGTAAAATCTTGGTCACTTTGATAATAGCTGTGAATTTGTCCTTGATGTTTGTTCAAAATATTTAATTCAACACTTTCATCTAACTGAACGTCATACGTGAGTATGCAATAGGCTTTATCAATTCAGATGGACAAGATTCAAATATGTTGATATCTTCAATAAAATAATGCTGACATTTCTTATTTTTGTGACATTCGCAGGCAAATTCCATCTATTGCTGTGCTATTTTTTTTGGGTTCTTGAAAATCTTCCATATTTTACCGTTCACACATCCAGAGAACGATTGTCTTGACAAAGTACGATGGTAATTTTGATTCCTTCTTTTTCGAAGCAATATTATCTTCTGAATCATAATCGCATTACGAGTCAGTATCTTCTTCTACGTTATGATCATTTTCTGGATCATTTCTTTTTTTCAGATAACGATGATAAATTGATCTAGCTACGCCATTGAGGATTTGCTCCTTTTCACTGCCATTTTTGGCTAAAAGACGTTCAATAAACGAAAACGAATATCGAAATTCAATCTTTCCATCTACTTCGGGTGTCATTTTAGACCATTTGGGTATAAGATGCATTGTAACACCACTATTATTTATCAGATTGTAGAGTCGTGAACAAGTGTTTTGAATTCGATTAAGAAATGGTTGTAGATTTGGGGACCAAAACTTCAGTTGTAGACATGGCACAATATCACTTTCTTTCAACAGACAACTTTGTACATATTCCACTTGATACTTTACGTACTATGCATTTCCTAACTTGACATATTTCTCATAAAAATCCAAGATGCCTGTCAATCAAACTTTGTTTATTTGCGACAAAGAATAGCTATAAGGAGGACCAGTCAATGAGAGAACATCTTGAAGATAATCTTCATTCAAAATCCATTCAGATATTCGCTCAAATGAATGTATATTTGTTAATAAAGGAAGTAAGTACTGATGTATAGACGTGAGTAATCCATTACAAAACAAAGGATGATTTTTCTTATGTTGTTCAGTAATATTTGAAATATTGGCTAATTATTGTTGAAACTGTTTATCAAATTCGAGCGCTTGATAGTATTTTTGCCCTGCTATACTTGCACTCGTCCTTTTTGTTTTACCAGTGAAAGTGACGCGAGATAATGATACGGAATCAAAATTTTCCTTCTTAGAATGTCGTTTTTCCATTTCCCAACCGTTTATACATGCAGTATGATTTTGATGTGTCTTTGGTTCTAAATGAATACCTTCGCGCATTTGAACCCTCTACAACCATCACATCAATATCATGCGTAGTTTCACCGCCTATATGTCTAGCATACGACTGTTTTTCAACGGTACTTCCGGTGACTGAAGCTAGACTGCAATTCTTTATTAATTGATAGGATTAGGATGTTTTAAGAAAAATTTACAAAACATTACCAAAAAATGAAATTAAACTAAGAAAAAAATTATTTTGCGCATTCTCACTTCCGCACCTAGCATGGCTTTTCTCCACATGGTTTTATTATACTGATAAACAGAAACAAAGAATAGAACATGTGTATGGAATAGGTCTTAAACTGGTGTACAATTTATGGGATTATGAAGACTTGACAGCACTATGTTTGAGTAGAGAACTAACATTAAGAGTTTATGTTTATAAATATTGGATTCGTTTCCAAAAACATTTGAACGAATCACCAGAAGCAAATTCTTATAGACAAACATGGACAGCATTCTTAATAGCAACAGTAAATTCGCAAATAGACTCTATAAACGAGCAAACCATACATATTTCGAATGTCTTTCATTTATGAATGCACATAAAAGATTATTTTGTCATTTCAAAAATACTTCATTCATTCTTGAATACTTTATTCTAAAATACTTTCCTATTTCTACATCATAACCTTTATATGTTGCGAAAGAAAACTGTGAATTTATCATTTGTTAACAATTATGGGAACAATAAAATAAATATTAAAAAAAAATCCTTTATTAATTCTGTCATTGTTGTTGACGATACGGCCATGCGATTTTTATTAAACGGAAGATGTGTGTGTATGGAGCAGATGCTTTGAAACTGTCGTTTTATACTAAAAAAGAAGTTCATAAAGCAAAAATAAGACTTTTCCAGTTTACACTTTATTTTGAATAAAAAGAAACAACAATGAATATCTGTTTTGATCAACGTTTAATCATGTTTCAATAATGAAAAATCTCAATTTTTTCACCTTTCTAGAAAGAAAATGTCATGTGAAATTGGAGTGGAAGGTAACACAAAACGAAAGAAACGAGAACAGATGAAGCAAAGAAAAAAATGGAGTGAGCGAGACGACGACACGATCGAAGAGAAAAAGTATTGACTGTAATTTTATCTTCTGTATAGTTTTTAACTTTATTATTCAATTGAAAGTGCTACCGACTTCCTCGACTTCATGGTAATCTCTCAGATGTAAATTTTCCTTTGAGTTGATTCTTTAATAAAATATGTTGCCTTTTAGTTTATTACAGAAAAACTAAGAAGTGCATTCTTAATCATAAGATAAAATATGGATCTTGAACGACTAATTAAGATAAAAAACAGCACATTAGCAAATTACTTTCACGGAGATCGTTTCTTTGTTGAGATCTGGATGTGTATGAAGCCTGCAACTATCTCTTCACCTATACCCACACCAGAATCAGAGAAAAAAAATATTAAAGTGAAATCATTTGAGTACACATTGATCATATAGATCTAAATTAGAAAGAAGATTTGGAAAGTAACTATGACGATCGTTGCTGACCATCTGACAGCGGTTGTATCCAATACTGTCTCCAATGAAACTTTGTCACTGAATAATCAGCATCAAGTCAAACTCATTTTATACAAAAGAACTTTTAGTTGACCAGGCACGGTTTTCTGCAATGATTCTTTTTTTACAATTTTTTATCGATCTTTCCAATGCAGAATCGACATAATATTGTGACAAGACAAATGTCGTCTAGTGTTTTGCTATGAGCCTATGATGAAAATGAGTTCCTTCTCTAATAAGACGAAAAGATAGCTGGGTGGGGTGTGAGTGTGGGTGTGGGTGTGTATATGGTTGTGGAGTGGGTGTGGCTTTGGTTGTGGGCGTAGGTGTGGGGTAAATGTGGATGTGGCTTTGGCTGTGGGTATACGGTGAGTGTGGGTGTGGTTGTGGCTTTGACTGTGGGTGTAGGTATGCGGTAGGTGTGGGTGTGTGTATGGCTGTGAAGTGGGTGTGGCTATGGACGGTGTGGCTGTGGATGTAGTAGAAGAGACGACCTACGCCTACACCGACACCCTAAGCACGTGTTAATGGCCTTTTTAATCTGTAGTTTTCAAGATGAATGGGTGAGTCTTTCATGATGTTGATCAAATGCAAAAAATTCTCCGACATAGCTTCAACGTTTTAAACATTAATAAGTGCCCATGTTCGCGTTATAGTTGCTTTAGGAATATGTCGTTTGCTTTCGCATTCTGCGCAGTAAAATATAATGACATTTTCGTTACGCACACAGCCAATAATAAAAAAAAAAACGGTTGGAAGAAAAAACATTATCAACCTTGAAAATATGAAAGAGAGTAATCTACACTATTTACCTAGCTTCAATGTCGCCATTCTCGCTTTTGAATCAACATTTTTATTCGGCGACTCGAAAGTTTCATCAGCAGAAAGAAAAATAATTCTTTTTGCTTTGTTTTGTATATCAAAGTAGAAATAGAAGGTTTCAGCACAGAAACATTTCTTATTTCTACGACGTGAATCGTACCTCAATAAACGCCGGATACGTAAGTTGCTTTGAATTTGTTGATGTCATGCTTAGAGAAACATCTTGTTAGAATAGAATATTGCTGTAAAGATGAGCCGATTCTTAGACATTGAGATCGGTAACAAAAGACTCCCACCCATTGGTGCCTTCTGGCAACATTCCCTTCTCCCTCTGGATCAAGCTTTGCAACCTGTTATGTCCCGTTTCGATCAGTTAAATCGATCAATCCGAGAAGCCAAAGAATATTGCTGTTATCCATCAAAAGACGACCTTACACAGGATGAATCGGCTGCCGTTTTTTTATATACCATGGAAGGCGGCGATAACAGTTTGTATCGCGTGTTGAACAAAACACTACGCTCTGAAAATCGTCGTGAGGTCGTACCCTGGTTTGGATTCCTTAAATTATTCGATACAGCTCTCTCCAAACTGCCGGCCGTCCAAGAATGTGTTTGGCGAGGTGTAGCTGGAGATATTAGTCAACAATTTAAAGAAGGTGATAAATTAACATGGTGGAGTATAAGTTCTTGTTCGGTATCTTTGAAAGTCGTACAGGATTTTCTGGGATCGGAAGAGAACGCCACTCTATTCATGATCGAAGTCAAAAATGCCAAAAATATCAATGGTTACACAAATTACCCTGATGAACAGGAAGTTTTATTGCGACCAGGAACTCAATTACGTGTGAAAGACAATGCTTTGCATCATAAAGGTGGTTTACATGTTGTTCACTTGGCTGAAGTATGTGATGGTCATGAAGCACAATTGCCAAACGCTATGGCCTCTCTGAACTTATCATCAAAATCAGAAAACAAAAGTGCTTCCAGTAAGTACAAAATTCATTGCTTCATTCACACATTTTTACTTCACGAGTATATATCGAAATAGCTCTATACCTAGCATATGTTTTACGAATTTTTACTATGAATTTTTTTTTCTTTCAGAGAATGAACATTCGGCATCGGCATCGGCATCGGCATCTGCTTCAATTTCAACGCCACAAGCAACAAAGAAACAATCATCATCTAGTAAGTATAATTTCATGACAGATGCTTTCGCGACATTTTCTTCTAGAATAGTTGCTCCCATCCCCACACCTACATCGCAATATGTTTTGGAGATATTTTTTCTAACTATATTAACTAGACTATGTATCATTTTATTAGTATTTTAATTAATTTGTGTAATATCTTGTTCTTGCAAAGAACATCCTGAGACATAAAATTAATAAAAGAAAATTTTTAGAAGAAAAGATATTTTTTCGTTCTTTTTAAACATTTTAACACAAGAGAGGAAAAGATAACTTATTTGCATTAGAATGTTTAAAAAGAACGAAAGAATTTCTTTTCCCCTAAGAATTTTTTTTACTGATTTTGAGTAAGAGACTGTTCTTTGTAACAGCGAAACGTTACACAAATTAATTAAAATACTAATAAAATCATTGATAGTTTAGTTATTATAGTTTTTACAATTTTAAATCTTAAAGTATCAAATGATATACAATCTTTCTAATTTCTTCCCGAACTATTGAGATAATCTTTTATTTTTAATATCCATAGAGGCATCTATAAGATCCAATTGTAGATGCAATGTATAGATGACTCTTTTTTAAGGCACACAACAATCAACAGCAGCAGCTACTTCGGCTTCGGCAGTACAACCGAAAAACAGCAAATCATCTTCTGGTAAGTCTTTGACTAAAAAAAACTACTCTTCTTATCTTAGTTAATTTTTGAGCCGATATACGTTGACAAAAGAGAGATAGATTCTATTTTCGAAAGAAATCAAGAATAATTTTCATAATTTTTTTATCTGTGTGAAAATTTATAATAGTTTAGTCTGCGTTTATTGTTATGAGTTTTACATTTAGTCTAAGTCAGTCACTTGAGACTGTCATGCAAATATTTTCTTAATTTATCTCTTTCAATCACGTATAAGAAAATTCCATTGCTTCATTAATGTGTCGTTACTTAACTTTTATATCATTACGTTGTATATTGCAAAATATTTCAATAGAATGATGGTGATAATCAATATTTTTAAGTTACTTGACTGAATATTCTTTTAGACTCATCGAAAACAGGTCCATCGAGCAATATGCCTGCTTACAACTATGTATTTGTCAAATAATCTTATATTATGTCTGGACTAGGTGAGTTATTTTCAATCGCGCAAAATAATCAAACAAGATTCTTGTTATAGTTA